AGAATCACTGCTGCAAAATAAGGACTTGAGCACAGCAGTTTCTTCCTCTTTGTGGAAAAAGCGCTGCCCTGCAGTGCTGTTTCCTTTAGCCTGCAAAAGCAAAACAAGAGAGAAACGTTAGATTGGATAAGTTATCCACATTGCGGATAAATCTAGCAAGCAGAAACATGAGAGGTGCAAGATGCAAGAGCATCACTAGACATCAAATCCATGAGAGGTGCTATAAAAGTACCACTGCTGATGAGGTGCAAAGCTTCACCATATCCTCAACCTCTATCTGTCACAATCTCATTTCATTATATGACCCCCGGAAATGAACACATTCAAGACGGAACAAAACACATCCTTGCCTCCACAGGTTTCATGGAGATGGAAGCAAGAAATTATAGCCTAGGAGGAATACAGAGAGATTGTCTCAGCAACCAAGGATCAGGTTAGAAGAGCTAAAGCCCTGGTAGAACTAAACCTTGCCAGGGATGTCAAGGGCACCATGAAAACTTTCTATAGGTACAATAGTGATAAAGAAAGACTAGGGAAAACATGTACCCTCTCCAGAAGGAAACAGGAGACCTTCTTACCCAGGACAATGAGAAGGCTGAGGTACTCAACAGCTTTTTCCCTTGAGTCTTCACCAGTGACTGCTCCAGCCACACCAACCAAATCACAGAAGACAAATGCGGGGACTGAGAGAATGAAGAGCTGCCCACTATACTAGATCAGGGTTTTTTTTTACAAGGGCATGTAGTGATAGGACAAAGGGAAGAACTTCAAACTGAAAGAGGGTAAATTTAGATTAGGTATAAGGAAGAAAGTCTTCAATATGAGTAGTGAAGAACCAGATCAGGTTGCCCAGAGAAACTGTGGCTGCCCCATCCTTGGAAGTGTTCATGACCAAGTTGCACAGGTCTTTGAACAACCTCGTCTAGTGGAAGGAATCCCTGCCCATGTCAGGGGAGTTGGAATCATATGATCTTTAAGGTCCCTTCCAAGCCAAACTATTCTATAATCAGGTAGCCCTTCAAATCTTCATACCCAACAAAATGCTATATACTATTCTCAAACTGATTTTGCCCAGATTTAAAGGGCTATTTGTAGTCAAGCCTCAAAATAAAATAAAGTTTTTCAGAATTCTTGAACACAAAGCAAACTAGATTTTGGGTTTGGTAGTGTTGTTTTAGGTATTCAGGAAATTGAGATTTTTATAAGGGATTTCAGCTTCAGCAGCACTATCCACTAAATTACAGTTTACTGTCAGGATTGAGATAAAGAAATTAAAATTTAACAGCAAGGATTGACGCAGCCCACAAAAACCAGGACACATGCCAGAAGAAACCACAGAGCCTACACAATCAATATCTGCTCATTCAGAGCACAGATCACCTAAAGGAGTGAGAATGGGAAAAAACAGAGCCAGGCTCACCAAGGCAGCTGTCTGTTAAGATAGTCACCTCTTGTGGGGATGTGATGTGCTCCTCTCACCTGTCATGCCACCACCTCAGCTGTCACTTCTTCCTTAGTCCCCCCTCCTCTGCCTTCCTCATCAGATGGCTGTTATTCTCCCCCAGTGCAATAATCATACAGATCTGGCTGCCTTAACACACTTCTAATAACCTTTCTAACACACATGAAAATCAACCAGTAAACCTGTGCAGAGCTTTTTGGTTGTGCTGCAGAAACAGCCACATTTTCACTGTCTTTTCCTCACCCACATCTCAAGGAAAGTCACACCCACTCATCCATTTTCCTCCTTCCTCCACTTTTTCTCACTGCAAAAGTGTTGCAGTCCCCAGGGCATAAATTCTCATTCTCCTCCTAGGTAAAGCATCAGCTTTCTAAACTCATACATTTATGTGTGTTAAGGACCACAGACCTAGCAACTTCCTTGGTATTTTAGTTATTTCACAGTACATATCTAAGATGTGCTACAAATGACTGGTTGAAACTCTGCTCCAGCTTGGCCTGTCTGTGGAAGGTGTGTGACTGCTCCCCACACAGCTGAGGAATTTCACAGAAACTAATCAATACTAGAAATCTACAAGATCTCCCTCCAGCATCTTCCAGAACCAGTCTCTTCACACCACAAAAAACCCACAAAGCTGTTTCTGTGGGTTCATCTACTCAAGCTGTTTTTACTTCACCCCACAACTCCTTCCCTTCTGTGAGGCACACCACAGGTTACACAGCCTCTTTTGTCAAGAAAGATCCACCATTTAAACTTCACATTTTTTTAAGTCTATTGGAACCTGAATCTCTTGATCTGGTTTGCAGAATTTTTGAACTTGCTGGACACATCAGTTATGTCAGTTATGCTAATTAATCAGCATACCAACTTGTCATTTTATTATCCCTACATGATGTGGTAAACAATATACCAACTCAGGTGGTCACCAGAGATGAAGTGGCTATTTTACAATCACCTTCCTTCTAGCTTACTCACTGCCAGCAGCTTTAAGGGTGCTCTTGCAGCTGGAACATATTGAGGTGAAGAACCTAGCTGCAAATAGGTGGTATCCAAGATACACTGGCATTCAACAGAATGCAGATGTGAATTAAAACGGTATCTGTGCTAAGAACTGCTGGGTAACAATCTGGGAAATAAATTCTGAAAAGCAGCAATATAAGGTGCCATCATAGCTAGGCTGGAAAAAAAGATGCTGAATTATCCAGCAGGTCTTAGTAATCTTGATCCAAGGACAGTGCAAGCGATGGTCTCCTGCCACCTGCAGGGAAAATGGAGATTTGAAAGCTTCACCTTTGTTTGACTCAAGGAGAGGTACTGGCATAATCAGGGTAGACAGCATGGAATCATAAAGCAAACTGCATTAGTGCCATTGCTTCCTCAAGTGAGCAAGGAAAGGACGTTCAGTAATAGGAATACATTTAGTTTGTGTTACTGCCACTGTTGAAGCCAGAGGAACACAGTGCAGAACTCCAGAAGGAAGCACAAGTGTAACACACAAAAAAGGAACTGTAACACAGTAATGGCATATTCATGTGGCTACAGCTACAAAACCAGCTAGGGGCATGCTATACAGAACAGATGTACTGAGCTCCTAGGAAATCTGCTGTGCCTCTTGATTTTATTTGGTGCACTGACAAATTGCCATTCTTCTCTTAACAACAAACCTTTAATTTTGTTTTAAAGCCTTTTTTCAGGTTAATACTACCTCACCCCATCAAGATAAGAGAATAATTAATCTCTGTGCAGAATCTTTCTTGATCCATGAGCACAAATGTCTACCACAAATGGTATGTCTGTCTCATGCCATGCACAGACTATACTCTAGCAAAAGAGATGGTATTTTCTTACACTAAGTAAAGCAGGCACAAACCAACAAATGCCCACAAGAACCTAACTTTAAAATACATTCACAGAAAACTGAAAAGTCAGCACAGAAAGCACTAAGCAGGATCCAGTATCAGCTGTCAAGGACAAAAGCTGCATCAATGGTCAGTGTCTACACAAGACAGTCATTCTCTTGTTGGGGATGGAATTTGTCATATGCATTTACATACAAGCTATATAAAACAGTGGCAACAGGAAAACAAAACAAAACAGCAAAACAAAATACAAAAACAAAAACAAACAAACAAAAAAAGCAAGCCGGCCAGATGGCAACTTTCATGTTTCATGTCAGTCTCATCCTGACACCAAATCTGGTTCCAGAGCCAGGACAAAATTCAGCCACTTGCCACGCTGCACGCCAGTGGGGAAAGCAGATCACCCCCTTCTTCCTCAATCATTTCTCTTCCCAAACCACTGAGGATCACTTGAACAGCATCATGTGAGCTCTACCAAATGCATTTCCTCGACCAACAGTTAAGCTAGGTACGATCACTCAGGTGGAAAGCTCAGCTGTAGCTTTCCTAATAAATACAGTTTTTCTTTCAGTCTAATTTTCATTCTCAGTGTCAGAGCATCAGTCACAGTTCTACAGAAGTCACCACTCCTGAGAGAAAAAAATTCTGAGTGATTCCTCATAGGCTGCTTTTTCTGACCAGCACACCAGATAAAACTGGTTGTATTTGGAAGACAGCAACAGCTACAGGATCTCACTAATCCCAGGAGCTTTCATGAGAAAGGCCTTTCTTTATCCCTTCCCTGCATGGGGCACAAGAAACCAAGTGCCCTGGACCAGTCCAAGAACTTGGAGAACATTTCCGTTCATGTGCAGAAAAGACATTTTGGGTCAGATTACACCATTATGGCTGTGTAAAGTACAGCTATAATTATGCTCATTCGCTAAGACTTATGAGCACAAATACAGATAAGAGCTAAAGATAATGACAACCCACTGCTTTTCATTAAGAAGTTCATGAGCTAGAACGTGACAAAACCACTACTACATTAACTCTTAAAAAAACCAAAACAGTCCAGCAAGCTCGAGCGAGTGGGCTGAAGACCTCTATAACGTCCCGGCTCTGCTAAACGGAGAAGGAGAGGGGGAGGAGGGCGATCGGCGTGCTGCGGTTCCCCTACAGCCCGCAGCAGCGGTGGGCTCGGCGGGGCCACCAACCTCCAGGGCCCTTCCGCGGGCCCCAGCTCGCCCCGCCGTGCCCCCGAGCCCCGCAGCGCCGCGCAGGCGGCGGGGCTAAGCCCAAGTGAGGCGCCGGAGGCCGCCGCCGGGCAGCAGAGCCGGCCCTTCCCGCTCGCCGGGAGCCGCGGCCCTTCCCGGCGCCGCCGCGGCGCTCCCGCAGCCATCCCGCGCCCCCCGCGCCAGGACCCCGCCGCGGCTGTACCAGGCCGGCGCGGGCGCTCCGGGCTGCAGCGCGGCCGCCACCCCGGGGCGCGCCCGGCACGGCGAGGCGGCCGGGCTGCGGCTGCAGCTCCCTCGCCCCGGGAGCCCGTTCCCCGCGCCGGGACCCAGGGCGGCGGGGAGGAAGCGCGCCGCCGCTGTTACCGTGCTCTCCGCCGGCGGCCGCAAGCCCGCTGTCGCCGCCCCGCGCCGCCGCTGCCGGCGCTGGCAGCCGGAGGTGACGCGCTCCCGGGGCGGGGCCCGGTGACGCGCCGGGGACGCGGCTGCGGCGGGGACGGGACCGGCGGGGTCAGCATGGTGAGCCGGGAGCGGCCCGGAGCGGGGGCGTCCGGCTGGGATCGGGTCTCTCCTTCCTTGGCTCATCGCGGCTGTGTGTCCTGTCCTTGCAGGGGAAGCAGAAGAAGGCGCGGAAGTACGCGGTCATGAAGCGCATGATCAGCCTCCGGGACGAGCGCCTGTGAGTGCGGCTGCGGCTGGGCCCGGCCCCGCGCGGGCCGTCCTCGCGTCCCGCTCGGGAGAGGCGGGAGGAGGTGCCGGCCTCTCCGCCGCCCGTAGCTCTTCCGTGTCGCTGTACCCCAGCAGTGCCTGTGTTTCTTTGCAGTAAAGAGAAGGATCGCGCAAAAGCCCCCGTGAAGAAGAAGGAGGACCCGAGTGCCATCAAAGAGCGGGAGGTGTAAGTGCTGCCGAGGCACTGGGGAGGGAGAGAAGGAAGGAGGGAGGGCCGGCCACGCTGCAGGCTGGAACTGAGGGTGTTCTGAGCGACACTGTCAGAAGAAGTGGTACCCCAAACCGAAGGATTGTGCTTGGGACGCAGCAGGAAGCGTGATGGGTCTGGTCTTTCTGTTCATTACCCTTCTTTCATTCTGTGCAAGCTGTAAGATTGGATGTGATGTTAAATGCAATTAACTGATTTGAATTCTTTGTCTTCCTGACAGCCCCCAGCATCCCTCTTGCTTGTTCTTCCAGTATAATACACAGCTGGGCCCTCCTTACCACATCCTGGTTGACACTAACTTCATCAACTTCTCCATCAAGGCCAAACTGGACCTAGTGCAGTCGATGATGGACTGTCTCTATGCCAAATGTGAGTTCCTGCACCACTCACAGCTCCTTCAGACTACACAGTGCCAGTGTGCTCATAATGTGTTTTGTCAGCCTCATGCCACTGGCTGAGAATAATGGAAATCTTGCAGAAAGAATGTGTGCTGTAATCATGGAGATGTGGTAACCCTGGCAATGTCTCTAGTTTCAGTCAAGTAACAGTTTTAAAATGCTAATCTCAGCAAAGCTGAGTACTAATAACTTTAAAATCTAAAATTACCATGGCATGGATAAACTTGATGGCTCTACATTTCATCACCTTGCAACATTTTCCGTTGACACTGTAAGTAATACATTATAGAGTTACAAGATGGTTTTGGGGCATGTGGGCAGTATGTAGGGGTCTGGAAATAAATACTGCTTTGTTTTAATGCGGGCTTTCTTTGCATTTAGGTATTCCATGTATCACAGATTGCGTAATGGGTGAAATCGAGAAGTTAGGACAGAAGTACCGTGTGGCATTAAGGTAGGTACAGGGTGTTCTTCTCTGTTTCTAGAACTTAATGCTTTAATATAAAGAAATGAAAAACACTTCCTATGACTGCTCCTCCTGTACTAGAGGGTGATTAGGTTGTTGCAGGATCCTGAACTTAGTTGTATTTCTCTGTCTCTAGAACATCAATACAATGGCTCAAGTTTTAGAAACTAAATACTAGGCATGAGTGCACAATATTAACCTGTAAATCTTTTAACCTCTTAAGACTTTCAAAGTAATGCTTTTTTCTGTTTCTCAAAAAAAAAAAATTATAGAACTTCTAAAAATGAATAAAGTGACACAAGTCTTACAGAATATTTTCATCCCTATTTCATGTTATTCTTGTGTGAGTAGGTACCAAGTACTGATAATCTAGAGCCAGGTTATTGTGTAATCTACAAAACTAGTCCAATATAATTAATGTACATCACTCAGATGTTATGTTCTTTTTATTTTGGCTTGCTGTTTTGTAAAGTATACGAGTGCATACTTTCAACAGCTTTGATGTTGCCCTTCGGACGGGAAGTGAAGTGTCCCTTTATGCATGGTACAATCACATGCCAGAAGTTCTACTTTTTCCCAGATAACTTACTTCCAATTATTTTGTTTGACAATGGCCTAACATTGCACAGATTTTGAATCCAACAAACCAGTACTAAAAATACTTAACCTATAATAACTATACAAATTGCATTATTTTTTTTGCAGGTCATTTCAATTGACCTTTGTCTACCATTTACTCTATCACTTCATCCCTTGTTTTGAGAACAATGTTCTGTATATCACAGAAAGGGGTGTTCTTGTTCCTCCATACTATGTTACTGTACCCTCTGGTCTGATTGCTGTGATGCTGCTTTTTATGTCACCACAGAATTGCCAAGGACCCTCGGTTTGAACGCTTGCCATGTATGCACAAAGGAACCTACGCCGATGACTGCTTGGTGCAAAGGGTCACTCAGGTATTTCTCTTGCTGACATTTTCTATACCGTGCTAACATACTAAAAATTCCTGAACCCTCCTAATTACTGACTGACTTAAATTTTCCACACAGTAACTATAAAATCTCACCAAAGGGCATTTTCAGTTCTAGCACAACTTTATTTGCTGCAAGGTATCATCTTCCCTGAGCATTCTTGTTGCATAGGACAGCATCAAGAAGCACTTAGGATGGGAAAGCTGTCAGCTTGAAGGGTTGGACAGAGTTTCTTTGAGTCTATTTTGATGGGCAGAAGGATGTTATTAGTCTGCTGTGGAGTTCTGTACAAGTCCTGGTACTGCCTTGCTAAGGACACTCAGCCTTCTTGTGTTCAGCGAGTTCATGAATAGGAACATTTGGTCAGCCATGACTCCTTTTTGGGATTCACTGGTGTTGAATCTGATTTGCCTTCTTTTTTTTTACAGCACAAATGTTACATCGTGGCCACCGTGGATAAAGAGCTCAAGCGGAGAATACGAAAAATCCCTGGAGTGCCCATAATGTATATTTCCAGGCACAGGTAAGGGCCCCCTGACAGGAAGGGATCCTGCCCAGTGCAATCCTTGACTGACTTGGGACTCTTGTCACCATGCACTTCTCTCCTTCATTGTCTGTAGTGCAGGCTGCAGTAAAGGGCCTGGTGTTTACACAGAGGTTGAAGTACAGCTACTGCTGGGAAGAGACTGGTCACAGACCCATTATTATTACAGTCTACATGTTACTTGTCTTTGCCTGAAGAAGTGGTTTCCTTAAGGCCAGCATTTCCATAGATCAGTTTTGCTTACTAGCAGCAGCAGGACTACAAGGCAAATGCATTCTACAGGTTCTTAAAGAAAATAACCATTCTTGTTTCATATTCTGTTCAGTAGCTTTGTGTACCCTCAGCTAAGAGACTGAATTTGTTTCTTAACTAAAAACCAAACCAACTCAGAAGGATTCTAGTGCAGCACATTTGAAATGAGGAGCTTGATCACTATAGATATGTAAAAATTTAACTGATTTATAATTAGAATGTGGCTCAAACGATCTTTCTCTCAAAACCCCATTTCTCCTTACTCACTGTGGCCATGAACGTTTGGAAAAGACTGTCAAGGGCAGTGATGGAGTCACCATCCCTGGGGGTGTTCAAAAAATAATTGTATGTGGCACTTAGTGCCATGGTCTAAATCTCAAGGTGATATTCAGTCAAAGGCTGGACTCTGTGATCTTGGAGGCCTTTTCCAATCTAAGTGATTCTGTGAATTATAAGTCGAATGTCTAAACATTATTTTCTGTGGTGATCTGCTCTTAAATCTTAAATCAGATCTTACAAAACTGCAGGGTTTTTTTCTTCTCTGGAGATGGTGAGCTTTTGAGATGTCTGATTGCTGAGTTTAAGGTGAAGAATAACAGTAACCTCATGAAGACTTTTTACTTTCAGAAGTAATATTTTTCTTCCTGGGGATCTGAGCTGCAGATAGAAATGCAACAATTGACTGTTCAGTTTACCTGAAAGCCTGTTGCTGCATGGGTGTCACAAATGAATACTTTAGTCCACTTGAAGAATCACAGGGAAAAGCAAAAGCAGCTTTCAATATAAGATTGTAGTAGTGAGATTTTTAATGGCAAGGTTCATTCTATTACTACATGGATGAAACATACAAAGGAAAATTGACTTAAAATCACTTTAGAATGTTTTGCATGGAGATCAGAAGTGCAAAGGACGACCCTCTCATTGAGTCATGAGGTTCAGAAAGGATTGCCTTGCTTTCCAAACCTCCTGATGGAGTCCAGGTGCAGCTGCATCCAGTCTTAGTCCCAGACTTAGTCAACAGTCTCTGTCTTAATTAGATTTTGGAAGCACTTAATCATTGACTAATTTAACATTTATAAAGTGATTCAATAGGGTTTACTATAATTATAACAGTGACTTAACTATAGTTTCAGGAAGCAATGTTCATTCTATACTCAGTAAAAAGTATATCAGCCAATTCACATGCATGCACACTGACACAAAGATGTAAATATATAAAGGTACGAGTTAAAAATTCCCCTTAGCTTCAATGAAACATGTGCAATGTCTCTGCATTTCTCAACAGGCAAGGCTTGAGTGACAATCCTCAAGTGTCTCAGCCTTGAAACCAAGAGGCGTTCTGCTCAGAGAGAGGTGCTGGTGCAGCCCATGGCAGTCCAGGAAAGCTCGAAGGGCCTCACCTTAAGACCACTGCTTATAGGGTCACAAGACAATTGCTTTTAGTCATGCATAAATTTTACATCTTGGCCATAATCCAGACTGGTAACTACTAGAGTTTCCAAAACTCTGGTAACATTACTACCATTCCACTGAGGCCACAACTTTGATAGGATTGTCAGAGGATGGCTGACAATCTCATCCTTCGCCACAGACCAGCAACGGGAGATCCCAGTACAGTCAGTGCTGTTCTCACCTTAGCCATGCAAGGCTTCCTGGTGTGCTCAAGGGATGCTTCACCACCTAACTCATTACACAAAGGCCAAAGCCTAGCAGGAATCCCTGAGATGATAGTGCAGCCTTGAGGAGGAAGAGGGGGTAGGTGCATTACCACAGTGGGAAGGGGAGTATTGTGGAGTAGATTGTCTTCATAAGTTTTCCTTCTTTCTCAGGTACAATATTGAGAGGATGCCAGATGATTATGGAGCTCCTCGATTCTAACCTGTCCAGTCAAGCCATCAATGCCAGAACTGTGAGCCAGGATAAGGGGCCTTCTGATCCTACCCTCCTCCTTTCTTCTTTTGTTGAAACTCTGCCCATAGGACTGTGGATAACACCAAACTGACTTCTTAACCTTGTTTTTCTAAGAAAAAGCTATTTGGAAGAGTCTGGTTTTATTCATCCATCCTCTGCTTTGGTCTGATTACCTATAGCTGGGAGAAGCATATGGGAAACAGAGGGCAGCAGGACCAAAAATGTGCCTAGCTCTGCATCGGGACCATTGGAAAAAGTGATTTCAGCATTTTGAATTAAATATTGATGATGCAACTCTGAGAATGAAACCACAAGAGATTTTAAAAGTTTCTTACTGCTGCACCTGGAGTACACCTAGGTATTCCTTTGGGAAGCTACCTCACACCTGTTTAGTCAAATCAGAATCTACATTCTGCAGAAAAAGACATCAGACCTGCACCTGTTGGTGGCTTTCTCTGGAAAAGCAGTCTGGATTTAAATTCAGAATTGATAGGCTTTTATTCAACAGCACAGTGAATGAAGTTTAAGTGTCTGCTAAGACTGCTCTTTCTGACCTTGGTTAGTCGGCAGCCCCGTCCTTTTGCTTACATTTAGAGTGGTGGAGGGCAGGGCAGGGTTGGGTTGGGACAAGTCTTTTGCTCCTGTTTGTTTGGGTCCTATGCACCTCAAAGCCTCATCCCTTCTGTTATGTATCAGGGCCAAGAAGGGAAGTGTCTAAAGGGCAAAGGTATTAATGTGGGCTGGGAGCACAGTCGTTGTGGAGGAGTAAGAACAGTGGTAGAATCCCTGGGATTAAAGTGTGGATGTGGTGCTGAGAGACACGGTTTAATGGTGGATTTAGCAGTGCTGTTTCAATGGTTAGCAATTGCTAAAGATGTGTTAGGAGGGTTGGAGGATGAGCAGAAGAAAATATTGGCAGTGAGAAAACCCATCAGGAAATTTTCATTAATTGAGTATAATTGGTAAGAAAAAACTTGGCTATTAACTTGAAGAGCCTGGTCAGAAGATAAATAGGACAGGACGGGACCACCTGAATGATCAGCTGCTTCTCCTGCAATGCCAGACAACCTGTGTACCAAACACTTGGTTCAGAGGAAAATATTTACTCCATGCACACAATGGCATCCCAGGGTCTGATCCAATTTACAGTATATGAGAGGAGGAAAGATCGTTGTCACAGGAAAGAGTTTGGTAAACTAGAATATTTTGATGTTCCCACAAATGCAAAACTCTGTCAGTCCAAACCAGAAGAGTAATTCCTTCCCGATTCAACTCTGGTAGTTGGTTTAAACATGCACAGGACTTAGATATCAGGTGTTTGCAGTGTTTCTTAGTAATTAGAGAATTTAGCCTCCCTGCTAACATACTGTCTCCTGCTGTAGCCGGTTTCCATAGCTTCATAAGACAGAGAACATATGGGACCACCACATGAAGAAAATCTGAATATATGCAAAAAATGGTAGGAAATAATTTCTAGCCCTTTCTGGAGCCACCAGAAGGTTTAAGATTACTACAGGCTTACCAGATGAAGAAATTTAAGCTGCTGATCCAAGATGTGACACTGGTTAATTGAGGGGTAACTGAAATGTGGTATAATAGTGTTTAGAAGCAGGAAAACATGAGCTATTAAAAAAAAAAATTAACCCAAACCAACATGATGGCACCCTTTAATGTTACAGACTGAAAAGAATAAAAGAAGAAAAATAACATATTCTGAATAGAAGAATCATAGGGCATAATGTGAACTTAACAGGGTTGGTTTTTTTTGTAAGATTGGGTAAGGCCAGTGTGTCTTGTCTGGTGGGAGTCAACTGTAGTGCAATCCAAACCAGATTTGAGTATTGAAGAAGCATCTGTCAAGCTATTTGGAAGTTACATTTTGGCTTCTACAATGTAGGCTGGAAAACAGTTGTCCTGAAAACGTTTAGGTACGTGTATTCCCTCACAAGAGAAGTAAAAGAAGTCTCTTGACAATATTGAGTAACCACAACAGTCAGCAAAAATAGTAGGAGAGACCTGCCTGCAGGAAATAACTGTTAGTAAACTGATCACAAGGGAACTTACATACAATGAATAGATCAGGAGGATAAATTAAAGGATGTTTGCAACAGGAATTCCCTATATTGGAAGGACGGAGTTTCAAAAGCTTAGTGAGTAAACTGGCCCATAGAACTTGGGTATAGAAATGCTAAATACAGTATAATGAACAGTAGATGCGGGGTAAAAACACAAATGCTATCTGAAAGTCATATTCACTGCAAGAGAAATCTAAGACCATCCTAAATAGAAAAGGATCAATAATCATCTCTAAATAAAATGAAGGGTTACTAAAGAATAGAAAAGACAGTTCTATTAATATCAAATTAAGATCATTTTCTTAAAGATTTGCATCTCAGTTGAATTTAGTCAAATATTTTCTTGCAGATTCATGGTGTATCTCCTCTGTAGACTTCCTGAAATTTAACAACGAATGAACATAAAGTTCAGCTTTTCTACCAGAGAGAATAAAGCTTCTCTACCTAACAATGTGATTTTCTTGATATTTCTCCTGACGAAAAATCTTAGGACCTTTCCTGCACACCTGCCTTTCTCCACTGGCCAGGGATCCTTGATTGAACAGGCACGAACTAGAGTGAACAGGGCAGAAATGGCTCGGGGTTCCTGTGCGTGTAGAGGACACGGAGCAGGGACCCCGCGTGCTGGCGTGCTGCTGACCCGCAGCCGCCAGGCTCCACTGCCCAGCTGCTGGAATTCACTCGTACGCGGTCTGCCCTGCCACAGCAGTTCAGCACTTGCATAAATCATATTGCCTACACAACATATTGTATGTTCAACTCATGCTTCGGCGTGGGTAACCGAGGGCATCGACGCCGCCGCCCAGGGACACCGCGGCCAGGGGGAGCGCCGCGCCCGCCACACACAGCCCAGCTCGCGGGGTCCTGGCGGCACCCCACCCGCAGGGGAAGGCGTGCCGCCAGCCCCGTGCCGCCGGTCCCGTGCCGCCGGCCCCGTGCCGCCGGCCCCGTGCCGCCGGCCCCGTGCCGCCGGCCCCGTGCCGCCGGCCCCGTGCCGCCGGCCCCGTGCCGCCTGTTGTCCCGGCCGCCATGTGTCGCTCCGGGCTTCTCGCGCCCCCGGCCCGGCGCTGCAGGCAGCTGCCCGCCAGGCGGCGCTGCACCCGCCCAGCGGGGCGCTCTGGCGCGGCGCTCACGCTCCGCTGCCCGGCGGGGGCGGAGCCTCGCCGCGCAGGCGCCGTGCGCCGCCCGCCGCCGCGGCCTGTGTCCGCTTCGCGCTCCGCCATGTACCCGGCCTGGGGCTTGTACGGGGCGGCCGGGCACTACCCGCCGCCCCCCACCTCCATCCCGCCCCCGCCGCTGCCCATCCCTCCTCCCAGCGTGCCGCCTCCCGCCGTTCCGCCGATGCCGCTTCCCAGCTACCCGCCGCCGGGGCCCGCGCCCCCCGCCGCCGCGCCGCCGCCCGCCGGTTCCTCGGGGTTCCTGAGCCTGCAGGAGCAGCACCTGGCCCAGCTGCAGCAGCTCCAGCAGATGCACCAGAAGCAGCTGCAGTCCGTACTCTTGGGCCCCCCGCCGCCGCCGGGCCCGCCCCCGCCGGGGCTGCCGCCGCCGCCGCTGCCCGGCTCCTTCACCGACTGGCAGCAGCAGCCGCCGGTGCCGCCGGTGCCGCCGCCGGTCCGCAGCTACCAGAAGCAGTACGCCCACCGTGAGCCACCGCCGCGCAAGCCGCCCCCCGCGGCTCGGGACCGCGACGGGCAGGAGCCGCCGGGCGGGCACGGCGACTGGGGCGAGCCGGTGCCCGCCGAGTCGGTGCCCATGGACATGGAGCTGTCCTCGCCGCCGCAGTCCCCGCAGCCCGGCGCCCAGCCCTACCTACCCCCCGCCCAGCCCTACCTGCCGCCGCCCCAGACCGAGCCTTACCTGCCCCCCGCCCAGCCGCCCCCAGCCCAGTCCCCGCCGCTCCAGCCCTACCTGCCCCGGGCGCAGCCCTCCCAGCCGCCCCCCTCCTTCTCCGAGCCGCCGCCCTCCTACCTGGAGCCCCCGCCGGTCACCGCCTCCCAGCCCTACCTGCCGCCTCCTGCGCAGGGCTACATGGCACATCCCCAGCCCTACCTGCTCTCCTCCCAGGGCTCTCCTTCCCAGCCCGCGCAGCCCGCCCTGGCCCCCTCCATCCCTCCCCCGGTCAAGCCGTCGCAGGCTCATTTCCCACCGCCCCAGACGTCCTTGCCCCCGCCTGCCGCTGCCCAGCCGGAGGCCGCGCAAGGTGCTGCCAAGGAGGGCGGTGGCACGGAGCAGCCGGACCCCTCCACCATGACTCCCCAGGTAAGGCCGCCCGGCTGGCAGCGAGGAGTCGCAGGACAGCGGTGGCGATGAGCCGCTGGCAAGTACGGGGTGTTGCAAAGGTCCCCGAGTAAGGGCAGTTAATAAACACACCGTATTTGCATAGTGTTGAAAGGATTTGGACACCATCCATGTAAGTGTGGCAATGGCACAGCTCAGGGGTACCTTCTTATCCAGTGGTGTTTGTAGGGATGTAACAAATTGTCATTTCTCGAGAAAAATTGTTTAGGGAAAAATGTAAATCCAGGCTGACTTGAATTTTCTTGAGTGTGTGTTGGTCTCTGGAAAATGTATTCCAAAGTACAGCATGTGGGTACTGTACCTGCCTCTAACCCTTGTTGGCTTTGTCTGGCCTGTTGTGAGATGCATCAGGTTGTTTCCTTGTTGCACATTGTGGGATATCACTTGTCTTCAGTGAGTTCTTTATTACAGCTTTTTTTAAGGGGTTGAGTTACAGTTTTCTACCTGATCAGTGTAGAATTGTGACTGTTTTAATATTATCACACACAGTTAAAGCTGCAGCAATGTTTCTCTTGAAGTACATACTTGCCCTCTACTTAGACGTAATCCACATTTTGTGCTACATGTGTTTGATCTTCCAGTATAAAATTGCATAGGGCAAATTGTAGGGAAATGTTCTGAAATGCGTTGAACTGAAAAATGTCATAGCTGTATGATTTTTATGTGTACACTAGGGCCAAAATACTGCAAAATGTTTGCATGCTTCACTTCCTAAATGAGACCAGTTCCAGTGAACTTGATGGGACCATGCATCTGCATTGTCAGGGACAATCCAGGCTTAAGGTTCCACATGCACAGCAAGGTGCATGTGTTGAGGCCCTCAGCTATGTCCATGGGTCAGGCAGATTCACTGAAGCTTTTGCATGGGTTTAGAGTTATCTTATGGGGATCTACCTGCAAGAACAAAACTGAACTGCATACTTTGAAATTTCTTTATTTAAATCTATTTTTTGATAAATTGATCTTAGTGTTCTAATTTGAAGCTAAGTTTGCAAAAATCCTATTGTGTCATATTGAAGTCACTGACACTTTAAATTGCTGATTGCTAGGACATGCCATTTTTACGTTTGTACCATATAACTAATTACTGCCTAGCAAAGTAGTGCTTTCAGTTCATTTAGCTTAATTTTATGAAGGTTTTGGACAGTACTAATTGACCTTTTACAGTGATAATAACAAGACTTATTTTTTTAATGACAAAACCAAAACCTCAAAAAGTCATGTGTAGAAAGTGGTGTTAATTTGGTATTGAGTCAGTTTGTTGACTTCTTAAATTATTGAGCTCAGTGATAAAATATTGGTAAAATATCTCCAGAAGAGTTGCAAATAATGCTTTATTGTGGTGTACACATGGAAGCAGCAGAACACTGCTGAAGTTTACATTGTCTGGTTTATGAGTGTTTATGTAAACTATCTTGAGTAGTTTGCTTGCTCTCATTCACAGTTCAATGTTATGTCAAAAGGAATATGATATTTTCCTGGTCATAACTTTGTTATAACAGATTAATACGATTTTGGCTATCTTAGGCTGTAAAATAAAACAGGATTTGGAATAACAAGCTTTTGCAAAATAGGCATAGGAAAAGCTAAGTGTAGTGATGCTTTCATGCCTTTTAGTAATCTGAAAAGCTGAGTGAAGAAACAGTGTAATTAGTTATTGTAGTATCCTATTAGGCGGTTGTTTAAACTGGCAGTTAAAAGCAATTATTTATGTTTCTCATCCCACAGTAACAGTGGCTGCAGACAAATATATCAGTGTTTTTCTCTTAACTCAGATTATGCAATTTACTATGAGTTGGTGTTATATTATCTTCTTTCCTGTCTAAGATACTGTTCTTTGCCTTGACAGTATTGTGAGTTTAGCGTTGTTTCTTCCATGAGTATATAGTTGGATTAATTTGCTGGATTCTTGTCAAATCCAGTTAAAATAACTGTGGTATTTCCTTAATGTTCTATCTGATACTTGGGTAATGTATGCTGCTATTTGTTTACCATATCACAGACTGGGTAAGCTTGGAAGGGAACACAGCAGGTCATCTGGTTCAGCCTCCCTACTCAAGCAGGGTCATCCCAGAGCATGTGGCACAGGGTTGTGTATTCCAAACAGTTCTTGAATGTCTTCAGGGAGAGACTCCACAGTCTCTCTGGGCAATCTGTTACAGTGCTCAGTCACCTGCATGGTAAAAAAGTTCTTACTCATATTCAGGTGGAACTTCCTGTGCATCAGTTTCTCCCATTGCCCCTTTCCTCATTCCTTGGCATCACCAAGAAGAGCCTGGATTCTTCCTCTTGGCACCCTCCCTTCAGATACCTGTGTACATTGACGAGGTCCCCTCTCAGCTGTCTCATCTCAAGGCTGAACAGTCTCAGATCCCTCAGCCTGTTCTTATTAAAGAGAGATGCTCCACTCCCTTGGCATCTTCATTGCCCTCTACTGGACTTGTTTCAGGAGTTCAAGTCTCTCTTGTATTGAGGAGCCCAGAACTGGACACAACACTCCAGGTGTGGCCTCACTAGGGCTGAGTAGAGGGGCAGGATCACCTCCCTCAACCTGCTGGCAATAGTCTTCCTACTCCAAGGATGCATGGGTACATCTGTACCCATAAATATGCATTTTATCTGCATCTGTCAAAGCTACCTCAGCTTTACCATCTCACTATTTAGCAGGCTGCTGCACTCTTTAAACAGCCCCTTTGTTTTGTAGAGGGTGCTAAAGCATTCATTTGCAATTTTCACCTGGAAAGGATATAGTGACCCCCAAAATAGGTATTATGTTATGGCCTAGGGTCACCTATATTAGCTTTGGAGTAGTCGTTTGGTGTGGACTTCACATTAGCATGTTTGGTGGTATGTCCTGTGGTCAGGAGCTGATAGTGCTGGTTTCAGTGTTCCTGAAAATGCTACAGGCCTAGTCTCTTGGTCAGCCAGAGATGGGAAAAGGCCTCTGTTGATGCTTGTGTATTCCGTGGGTTTAAGGATTTTAACTGGACTTGAAAGATGACAAGATCAGTTGAATGACAAAGTCATTGTGAGGAGGTAAGCACTCAGTGACTGAATTCTTCGTCAGGAAAGATTTTCTACATTAGCACTTCTGTTTTGCTCCAACTAAGCTGTAACAATCTACCTTTCGGCTTTTCTTATGCTTTTC